TTGCCAAAGTAACCAATGTACCCCGCACTTGTACCCCATTAGTTTAGTTAGTATCGCCAAATATCCGGAAGATTATCGCTCAACGCAGACCCATGATGGTAGATCATTCTTGCCAGGAGAACCTGCGGAAATGCTTATAATTATATACAAGGGGCCCCAAGCCACTATACATCAATCGAAAAAACTTACGCTTCCTGCGGTACACGCCCACCCCTCGGTAGTAGACATGAGATCAGCGATTGTAGTATAAACACCTATGGAATTGCTACCTTTCTGGTAGCAGTTCCTGTTGTCATTGATGGTGGATTGGGCCTTTCTACCCCTACTCTACATCTTCAATCTTTATCGTGAGGTGATTCCTAACACGAGTAGCGAGTGAGCCTTTGAGTAACGTAGGAGTCTTGTTGCACTCCGATTACGAAAAACAGCATTGAGTAATGTGACGAAGTCCTTTAAGTGAATCTAATGTGAGCGAATATTTTAGAAAGGTAGATAGAGCTGATTGTCACAGTATTTCCCAATGACAGACTGAGGAACAATCAAATCGGTTGCGACTGTTGCCTTTGATTTGTTTGCCAAGCTAAATCCGAATAACTACAAAAAAGCCCTTAGTTTTGATTGATCTTGTGTCTGATTCTGAGGATAGACCGCATACAAAAACTCTAATCAACTGTATGATCACAAAAGAAAAACCCCAAAGTACCTAGATTTAAGCATCGCCATATGTTATCAGACGCTTCAGGTATCGAGTAGCTGTACGACATATTCACTCTTGCTATCGCACGGGTGCTTAGGAGGCCCCATTGCGATGCTAAGAGCCAGCAATCCGCATCACAGTCACGCCGACAACCGTGTGTGCTGAGCGTAGCAATTGACACTACAGGCACCATCTGATAGGATTAGATGAGACGCGAGGCTGTATCCATCCAAACATATTGACACTTGTGCCTAAGATCAAGGTCAGCCCATATCAACTCACTGAAAACTGAGATCCTTAATAACGAAGCAAAGACACCGCTGATGCTCGGAAATTCGAAACTTGACGCGCGTAGCCGGACAAATACTCGAAAACAACTTCGAGAGAGTCATGAATATTAGTGGATATACATTGGGGCTATGTGCCTCATGTGATTATAAACTTTAGAGTTTTATGGTTTCAAAAGTAGTCGCTCCACTGGGGCGACTACTACAACAGGGAGAAGATCTTTACCAAAGAAATAAATGTCATTGACGATCTCTTGCAGTGGCTTAGCGACGCGCACGGCGAAGAACTTGTGGATTTGTCAGAGGCTGCGAATGACACGAATCAGTGCATTCGATCATCATTGTTAGGGACCCGATCTATCGTCCGAGGTTCTGGACTGACTTCAGTCAAATACTACGCTCAGCCTGTGTGGGGTACATAGCCATGTAGACTTGAGCTTGCGACAATCGCAAGTGTACTATAACCACCTATTAGCAATGTTAGACAGGGCATGATGAATGAAGCCATAGAGCCTACAGGGATATCGTAAGCAGCCAGAGCCTACCACAGTAGTACTCTCGGAACAGAACCAGGGTCTCTATTTGCGCTATTCAGCTAAACGATTTCTGAATCATTAGCCCACCCGTCATTAGCCCATCCGTCATTAGCCCATCCGTCATTAGCCCATCCGTCATTAGCCCATCCGTCAAGTATACCGTATGGTGTTTGCAGCCGAATCACCGGTAAATCCGGAGTCCCCAGTGTCGTGATATTGCCTATTGTGCACTAGCGCTTACGACTCTATCTGACGACTACCGTGGTATCAGGCAAAAGTGCTTCCCTGTGGGGCGCTTACGCAACCCCTGTACCCAACTAAACCTACTCTAGATAAAATGGTAATATATTTAATTCTTGAGGCTTAGATTACTTCATTATAGTAAGCCCTCATACTATTCACCAGTAATACGAGCTTATTAGGTATTATTAAGTTCTACGCTACGCGCGTAGAATGGTCAGGTTTGGTGCTTTAGGTAATAATAAGGTAGTAGTAGAGCTAGTGGTAGAGGTAGTAGTAGAGGTAGTGGTAGAGTTGGGCTTAATATTGAGTCGATGAGGACTGTTTAACGAGTGCAACCCTCGTTCCATCTTAGACCAGCGCAGTCAACCTAGGCCCAGTGCCAATACCGCCCCGACTCTGGTCCGAGGTCCTCCTGCCTACCCCTCTGCCTACACATATAAAAGGAGCCTTATACTTATAGATAGATAGACAAGTTCTTCTTGTCCTTTTGTACAAGACCTATAGGTGTAGGAATTAATTCGTTTAATCTCCATACAGACCCGCACTCCCATATGCCTTTGTCTTATCAGACCCCTTTCAGACGTTCCTACCTACTTGTGTCGTTACGGACTATGAGATAGAACGTTCAAGAAACTTAGGTGTACATTAATTACTATACAAATTGCTATAGGTTTGCATGTAAATATATAGAAAAACAGAGTTTCTAATCTCTGTAAGCACGGCCCTAATTCCCACTGCAAGAAGACCCGCGGGTGAGCACTTCTACCTACTACCACAGTATGTAGATCAGTGCGCAAGCACTTGATACTGCTAATGTTTCTGCTCAAACCAACAATCCCATGTTTACAAATTCGCTTTCATCCAGCTAGTACTAGTGCCAACGTGTGCAGAATGCAGCTCGTCCAATTGCTACACCCGAGAACTTTGATTATTTCCACACTCAATGCTGCTATGTTTCAATGACGAAATAGCCGAATTTTTCCTTTTGAGCTTGAAATTTGCACTGCCTTGTTGACGCGAGTGATATATCCAGCTATCCACGTAAGGTTGAGCAAACGCGGCTTGCCACTGCTACAGGACGTTAGCACAGTGCTAGATCTGGATTAAATTTGTTAGATGCTTTCAAACTTCAAATTGATATAGGAACATACGTAATCGCGAATGTCGAAGGAAAATCTGGTTACTACTTCTGTGCTGATTTTCCATGGTTGCCTGTTGTTGACTTTGTGATTGTCTAACTGACTGACGGACCGCATCCCTGGGACAAAGTCGCGTTTTCGACGCTTGGCAAACGTTGCGGATGAATGAGCCTCCTTACCGGTACTAAGCTTGCTGATCACGATAGACATCCAGAATTCATGAATTCTACTTTCGACGCGAATCAGCGACACCCTTCAAGTCATCTTAATTAGGTATTGAGCCATCATCCATGAAAGTCCTTTTCAACCCCAAACACATACTTAAGATTGATTGAAGTGTTCCATTGTTTGTAAGCGCAACAGAACGAAATACATTACGCTTAGAGTATCCTTGTAGTCCGGTTTTCCTTTGCAGCTGTGAGCGATACTATTGGTGGGCTTACTATAGACGACTGATATTCCAACACTTGCATACCGGTAACTCCTTACCTCCTGTGTTCTGACTGTTACTAAAGAGAAATGGGAAATTCGCACGCTTTTTACTCGGTTTTAGATGCTGGTGAACCCCTTGCCATTCGTTCTTTTGATAGACCCACATACACTATCTACTTTCGTCTACTGTCTACCGAGACAGTCCATATAGAGTTAACTATGTGCACTAGTAGAGCAATAGCCGGAACAGTTCGGGTGCTCTTGGCCCAAGGAATGCACCAGGAGCCAGTTCGATCTCGACAAAGGGCCAAGCAGTGGTGTACATATGTAGCTTCCTTGGCCCGATCCACTATGGGCTGTTCAGTTTTTCAATTGCACGCTAGATACGAGGAAATGCGCAAGTAACAATGGCGAAGAGGAAGTGAAGGAACGGGACTTAGTCGCTGCAAGGCGCTGTAGCGCTTTGGAGGACGGTGCAGACAGTATTTACGAGACAATGGAGAGTCAGACATGGATCGATCGGATGGCCTCGTGCTGAACCTTCAAGGCTTACACGTTGGTCTGCATCCTTGCTAGTTTCCGCTTCCAAGAAAAGCCGACCCATTAGTGTTTCAAGAATTCAAGGGATGCTTTTACGGCATTGGTTCGGTCGAATTCGGTGTGTAACATACGGGATCTAGTACCAGCACTCCTTCTTAGTTTTGCCCTAAGTATTGGTTCGGGAATTAAACTTTATTCTGACGGCAGCTCGGCTGCGCGGAAGGCAGCGCAGGAGGGTGCGGCTACTATTCAAGAGAAACGGCTCGTATAAGTTACCTCACAAAATCATCAAATCATGTCCGATACCATAGTCTCGCAAGGGTATCGAGCTTGACAAATTTTGACAAGGAGAACATAGATATCGGTACTGTAGTGTAGAATGCTTCAAAACAGGGGCTACTCCGGTATGCCTACCGGGTTTTACTTTACCAGAAAAAGTCCTAGCACGTAGAGAAACGCGATCTTACGCTAGGCACTCCAGTCTAGAGGAAGTATTGTATACTTTCCACAGCAGTGCACACCCGTAGTGATTATCTACTGTGGTACGAACAAAAAGACTGGATTGTGGAGCGCTTAGCGCCACCACTGAGTCGAGGTCGGCAACGGGCTTACACCTACGGTATAGTACACATTGAATGGACCATCTCCCCAGACCTCGGACCTATGATTAATTGTGGGTAGCCCAGTATGTACAAGTAACAAAAACCCATGCAGCTAGTAGCGCTCGCGACTCAGACCTCCCCTACCGGTACTGCAGGACATGCGCTGAGACATGGGGACTCAGGAACCGAAGTGATTGTTAGTACGTATCGCGCCACATTACTATAGATCATCCCAGATCATTGGCACTGTAGCAACTGACTCCCATCTCCGGAGTTCATCCATTTGAACGGACGGACGAGGCTCTGATGACCTACTCGTGCTACGCGAATGCTTGTCCTTCATACTGTACCATACGGTACTTTCAAGGTTGAAACTCCGATTCTCGGACTTTTAAAGACATCTTCATGCTCTGTGAGGGATCGACAAAATGCTCTCGATTCTGCCATGTCATGACGGGTATCTAGACCAATGAAGACTCATTGTTTGACATGAGAAACAGCTAATCTGGGCGAAATCCAGCCTCAGTCGAACACGGGCTGTGTACTAGCAAACGTAACCAATACATTCAATGTTCAGCCAAGAACACATCGTACTCGGTAGATGTTTTGGTAATGTGGCGAGCCCTTTGACTTACGGTCCTGCAGTACCAGCTGGGATTGGGCTCGATCATCAGCCTCCTAGAATACTTGCGGCTCTTGACTCATTGAAAGTGAGACTTTTTGACATGAATCAACACGCGTCACACATTTCGCTCTCCTAGCCCGAACAGCCTAATCGCACGATATGAAGACCATCTGGTGCGTACATCACGGAACGTTACGGCAGAGAGACTCAAATCCCTATCCTTGCTCGAAGTTGTAAGTAAACTATTCTGGTTGCGGTACGATCGCCTGGCAAAAATCTTTATGCACTGGAAGTTGACTATGCGTCTACAAGGTGCATGATTAGAAAGCCACAGTGACGTATGTGCTCTTTATACCACACACGATATGCATTTGAATAACATGTCATACCTACACACTCATTGATGCACAACAATTGACCGGTAGATTTCTTGAAATATTTCTAAGAAATGTGGTGTCGATCCTGGATCTTTCAGAGCAAGCGAAATCACTTCGAGTGATGAGCTCAAAAAATCCTAACCTGTCAAGGACTTGCTATCACAAGGCTAACTTGTTCATGTAACCGAGAATCTGCAGATCAACCCACTCCCCGGGCCGGTGCTAAGGTCCTCCTGAGCAAAGGAATACTCCGGGGATCACCGTCTCAACACACTACACCACGACAAATGCCTCTCTCCCGTGTAGTTCGTTAGCAACAAGGGGTACGCGGCGAGCTCTTACCCCGCTCAGGAGATGTGGACCATCATCACCTCGTTCAGTCCATCTCCCACTGTCTCTAGCTCAGATTGATCATGGCCCATCATGATTGTGCTCTTGGTATGGTCTATATAAGGAAGGCGAGGTACCCGTCTCTCCTACTCACCATCCACACTCATCATCTTCTCAATCCACAGTTATCACCGAAAATTCTCGTTCACTGAACAACATGAAGTCTGTCGCAGCATCCACTCTTCTCTGCTTTGCAGCAGGGGCAGTTGCTCAAGTCAGTCCACAATGTGCTTTTACCATTGATTGTACCATGCTTATAAGTTGTTGAACAGAGGGCCACATTTGTTCCACGAAGCCCTCAGGAGGTTAATTCTTCCTACCTGCAGTTTCACCATACCAGAGAGACTACCCTACAGCACAGATGCATCGGTTGAGTAGTGTCTCCCTCGTACTAGAGC